ATTAAAATGAGCAACAAGGAACGGAGATCAACTAACTTAGAATTTAATGACCCACCACAGAGGTCCAGCAGCTACTGGCAATCTACATTCCCATAAAACAAAAACAAAAAAGCCAGATCAAGGCACAATAAGCAATGCATTGGGAGTTGCAGTTCTACAATAACTTCGTAAACTAAAAACACCAGTATTATTTTACCACCCTACCCTTGAAAATCCTTATTGAAGCACACCTTCACCAAATCACAGAACTAAAACAGCATTAAGGCCTGCATAAAGATACAATATTACAGATCTTTAAAACGGCTAGGATCTTCACGGTAGTAGGAAGGAACTTGGAACATTTGTGACGTCAAATCGTTTCGAAATGCGAACTTTTGGAAAGTGACTTTAGCGGTTATTGTTGGAAGTAGAGGTATTTCTGAAAAAGTATAATGTGATTTAAAAACAAAAGAAAATTTGAAATTACTGATCGAGGCTGAACTAGGTCAACAGCAAACCTAACGACACTCTTTCGGAATTTTTCCTTAGCATATTATAAAATCCAACAAGCAACCTCGCTAACAACTTCACAAGGCGAAAATTTGTTAATGTCCATGAAGGTCAACGCATGGCCGAGTGCCAGAATCAATGTAAACTTAAACTTATGTATAGGAAGAACATCAAAGAAACTGATGAAATTAAACGAAAATTTGCATGTTTACAATATGCAAGATCACTCTAATTATCTCAGAAAAGAAATTATTATGTAAAACGAATTTGCTTAAACACTCTGAAAGCAAACTCATCTTGAATTATTTCTTATAGACAACTACTACACCAAAAAGCCATTGTCCAATAACAAGGAAATCCACGCAATAATCTCCCATGGAGATTCTCTTTGGCAGATGAATCTCCCAAAGGTCAAGCATTATCTCTATAACGTTGAAAATATCACGAAAGCGTAAAACAGAACATCTGTTGAAACCGCAACTGTAATTCATAGAGCCCTTTTCCTTTTTTTTTTCCCATAGTTTAGAAAGCAATACACGTCGCAAGGCTTTCGAAAAGTACCCGGAATCATGAACTAAGTTGGACTACTCCCTAATGTCACCTCAGAACTTAAACCATAAAGTAGACTTTTTCTAAACAATCAAAAACTTAATGAAATTTTTGTAATATATTTGCATAAACAAGTATATCAAAAACTAAAACGCTAATCTCAAACAGTTCCGCTGAATCAGTTCTTGGT